AATATATAGATCATGGTTCGTTACACTTCACTGTTTTCTTTCCTCTTCCCTTGACCTTCCCCTATCTTGAAGTCTGTTCTAATTCATTTGTTGTTTCATTAAGAGTCTCTTCTTCAAAGAATTTCTCACATGAGACAATGAGTGATTTTTGTAAATTTTCACCTATCTTTCTTTCCCCCTTTGTTAGGTCCTGGTTGCAGGCCTTTTCTTTCATTACCTAACGTTCAGTTTTGCTGTCTCAATTGACTTTGAGGGTTGCAAATAAGAACAACTCTCCTTTTTGCCTGGAAATGTGTAACATGTCCCCTATCCTTAGAGTTCAGGAATTTTAACCAAGTATAGGGCTAAGTCTTTTTTCAGCTCAGGGACATCTCATGTTATTATTTAATTATAACATCTCCTCTCCTATTGCTTTTCTCCTGGAACTCCTCAATTTGCCAGTTAAATCTCCTGAGTCTGTTTCAGTCTCCCGTCTTTCACCACATAATTTGCATCTCCATATCTTTGTTACATGTTTTGAGATATTTCATCTGTTTAATTTTCAGGACCTCTTGTGGGGTTTCAGCAGTGACCATCCTTTCTTTTGCTTGATGTATGTAAATTTTTAGTTCTGATATCACAGTTTCTAGTTCAGGGAAATCTTTTGTGGTTGACCTTCACACATTACCTCCCCCGGGCTCTCAATCACTCAGAGATGCATTTGTTTCCTCCAGCAGGTCTCTCCGCCCTCTGATTTGTCTGCATTCTCCTGGCCTTGAAGGCTGAGAAGGCTGAGAAATTCAATCCACCTGCTAGTGTTTTAGAGCGCTGGAGAGACTCAGCAAAGCCATTGATTGTTCCTGGGAAGCCAGCGGTTTCTGGGACCTGCTGCCTTCCTGAAGGTCCTTTTTCTTGGCTCTGAGGCTGTTCTCCAGACACTCGTCTGCAGGAAATTCTCTCTGCCAGGAACTTAGCACAGCCCATTTAAAGTTTGTCCTCTATAGCTGGGAGTTGTCAGAGGGGTTGTAGAAGGGAGTTTCATTAGGCTTCTTTTTTTTATTTAATATTTTATTTTATTTTATTTTATTTTATTTTATTTTATTTTATTTTAAAGATTTTATTTACTCATGAGAGACATAGACAGAGGGAGAAGCAGGCTCCTCACAGGGAGCCCAATGTGGGACTCAATCCCTGGACTCAGGATCATGCCTTGAGCCGAAGGGAGACGCTCGAACGCTGAGCCATCCAGGCGTCCCTTACTAGGCTTTCCATATACCCAGACTCCCCTTGCTCTAAGTAGTCTCAATATTATTGACAGACACAGCGATAATCACCAGAAGATTTAAAAACAGAAGACAGTAGGTGCCTCTGGGAACTACAAGTGGAAGTAGGAATGGGGTCCCTCCCCACCTACAAGTAATCCTTAAGAACTTCCTATCACTGAACATTTGACCGTCCCAGAGACCCTTCCTCTTCGGGTCTTGGCTTTTTCCCCCCATACTAGGATTTCTCAACCTCAGCACCTTTAACTTTTGGGGACAGAAACTCTGTATGGTGTGAGTGGCTGGCCTGTGTGTTGTAGGACATTCAGCAGCATCCCTGGCCACTACCCACTATACATCAATAGCACACACTCCCCAGCTGTGACAACCAAGCATGTCTCTGCACATTGCCAAATGTTTCCTGGAAGGCAAAGTCACTTCTAGTGGAGAACCACTATTGTATAGCTTTCAGTTCTATTTAATTTTTTTAAACATATGCTCACACTATTCCTATAATTAAACATTTAACAGGTCATGAGACAGAGAAGAAAATATGAAGCAGTTGTGAGGAAACAGAAACCAGAAGTTGAGACTTTACAGTAGAGGAGAAGGAAGCAAATTAGCAAAGTAGGAAAAAATTGGGAATAAATAAACAGAAACCCTGTCAGAGAGTCATAGGACGGGAGGAGCAGGAATGGGGAGACCCACATACTCCTGTCACCAAGGTACCCAGCAATGTTGTGATTGTAGATACCAAATTCAGCAAGAGTCTGCAGAGGCCCAGTCATACCATAGCCACTGTTTGGGTGATCCCTATTCCATTTGGCTTCCTACCTGCCCCAGGTGTCCTAACAATAAACATCCCTTCACTTAAGCAAGGCTAAATAAGTGTATTCCTTACAAACAAAGCCCCATAGACTTAGTGTCCAATGATGAGAGGGGCTCTCCACTGTTTGTTGCCAGTAATATATTCACTTCTTAGCATCACACTTTAAGAAAGACTCTGCTCAAGAAAAACAGTGGGAACAATGAGTAGGCTGCAAATAAGGTCTGTAAAAGGAACTCCAGAAAGCTTTTCCCTGGAAGGGGGAAAAAAAGACTTAGGCCATCTATCAGGGCTGTCATGTGGAGGGAAACGGGTAATTATATGATTGTAGCTCAGAGGCAGAACTGATGACAAAAGTAACAGGGAGGGAGATTTTGGCTCCAAATTTAAAAATCTCTCTCAAAAAGAAAGATTGGAAATGAGCACTTGCTAAAGTAGTGAGCTGCCTATTCCTGGAAATGTTCAAGAAGAAGCTGGTAGGGTGGCTCCTCCAGTGGATATAAGTTTGGGCCAGATCTTTCCACCTCCTCCCATCTATAGAATTCTAGAAATGTAAAAGCCTGGCTAGAGGCACACACCAAGCAGGAACACTGTACAAATGGCATAATAGTGCATTTAAGTTAGAGGAGGGTGGCTGTTGGAAGAGTTGAGCAATAAGGGAAGATCTCAGAGGTTCAGCATCTTCCACTGGCCCTGGTGTGCTGGTCTTTCCCCCACAGAATTTTTTTTTAAGATTTTATTTATTTATTCATGAGAGACAGAGAGAGAGAGAGAGAGAGAGAGAGGCAGAGACACAGGCAGAAGGAGAAGCAGGCTCCAGGCAGGGAGCCTGATGCGGGACTCGATCCCAGGACTCCAGCATCATGTCCTGGGCCGAAGGCAAGTCCTAAACCGCCAAGCCACCCAGGGATCCCTCCCCCACAGAATTAGTCAGAACTCGTGGTTGCAAGAGATAGAAAAATCTAACTTAGAATGACTTAAGCAAAAAAGAAAATGTATTAGCTTACATAACCAAAAAGTTCAGGAGGCAAATCTAGCTCTGGGCATGTCTGGATCCAAGTTTCGAATAAAATCATTAAGATTTGGTCTCTCTCCATGTCCCGGCTCTGTTTCCCTCCTTATAGCCTAAACAAGCTTGGAAGTTTAGACTCCTCTTGACAGAGTACAGAGCAAGGCCAAAGATGGAGGGGTCTTGGCTGGACGGCTTCCTAGGCCCCTCCCCACCTACAAGTAATCCTTAAGAACTTCCTATCACTGAACATTTGACCGTCCCAGAGACCCTTCCTCTTCGGGTCTTGGCTTATCCCCTATCTTCCCATCTGGGATCTCAGGAAGAGGGGAAAAGCTGAGGCTTCACCGGGTTCTGGTGGCTTCCCCTAGTGATCCACCCTTGGGCAGGGCACTCCTTATGGCTGGAATCTTACACCAGTCAGGGAATGGAGGCCACTAAGGAAAGCAACCCTGGAGATACAGAAACGAAAAGACTTGCCAGGTATTTGGAAACAAGTTGACCAGCTGGAGAGATGAGGCAAGGGGGTCCTCGGAAGGTGTATCTGGCTGCCCCGATTTATTTTTTTCCTAGACGCAGGGGTCAGTTAGGAAGTTGCCACGATCCCGGCCTTCAGTCCAGAAGGCCCCGGCTAGGGCACGAGCCTCAGAGACAGACAAGACAGACAGTGAGATAAATCAAAAGGTTGTAGGGAAGAAGGAAAGTAAAAGATAACAGGCTTCGCGGACCGGATGGAAAATAAGGTTCAAACTGCACCCAGCTCCAGACGGAGCGAATCCGCTACATTCCGTGAACCAGGAGGCGCCGTTCAGGGATCCGCAGGGTCCCGGCTCCGCGGAGTCGTGGGGCGGGGCAGATTCCCGGGCAAGCGAGCGGGGAAACTTACAGGACTACATTTCCCAGCGTGCCACGGACCGGGCAGCTTTACGCACGCGCAGGAGTTGTGGCAAGACCGCGTGGTGCCAGGCGGGGGTGCTGGGGGGAGGGTGATCTTGAGCGAGCCGAGATCCTCGCAGCCTGGGAGAGCGGGTGTGAAGGCGGAGTGGAAGGCCTGCGTTCGTGATGTTTGAGGCCTCGGCTGCAATTTCCGGCCCCTCCCACTGGGTTGGCGGGACCCCAGACCCCTTCTCTTACGGAGTCTGGCCCTCTCACATCCCCCAGGCCGCGGACAGAGTGGTCTTCCAACTGGCAATCCTCAGAACCCCACATCCCGCTGCCAGTGGTTCCCCGCATCCGGTGGCCCCCCCCAAAGCCACCTTCCCTCCCACACAGCCTCAGCTGCCTGTTCTTTACCACTACCGGGGCCTCTTCTGGGGGAGGCCCAGGTTGGGGTTCACAGAGGTCCGGAAACCCCGGGGCATTCAGGTTATTCTCTGTGTGCAAAGGGTCCGCTTTCTCCCTGCGACCACCAGGCCGGGCTCCAGAGCATTGTGTCCTACTCTGGTTTTCTCTGGGTCGTGAGTAGGAAGGAGAGAAATTCGGCAGTAGAAGCCTGGCTTCCGCTGTCTTCTGCCCCTGAAACCTCAGAAAGGTCTGCTAAGCCAGACTTGCCTCTACAGAAGCCCCAGGGGGAGGTGGTGTAAGCTTGAGGTTCCGGCTGGTGGCAGCACAGGCATAGAGGCCGTGGGGAGAGTACTAGGTCAGGGACTGGTGAGCTTGCAGGCTCCAGGTGATGGGAGCTGGTGGCTCTGAGTGCAAATGCTAACGATATTCCAGCAGCAGCAAGTACAGCTTGAGCCGGGCTCCAGCCTCCACCCCTAGCACACAGCCTGGCAGTTTTCATGGCACAGACTCTCTTGGTCCATCTTCCCCAGCTAGACGCCCCCAGAAGTGCTCTGTGCAGAGAGCAAAGCCCACACCCCTACCAGAGAGAGTCTGTAGAGTCTGTTGCAGATCTGGAGCCCTCTAGATAAAAATCTAAACACTTTCTGAGAAGTTTTATTTGAAAACATGGGGACACACAGAGGCAGCAGGGCATGGATTGGTATTCGCCAGCCAGAGTTCTCAAATAAGAAGCCAGGCTTGGGTTCCTCAGGTCGCTAGGTTTCAGGATCCCTCCAGACTGTGGGCTCTCATGGAGCACCACCCCCTCCGGCCCCACCTTCTGCTCTGGGGCTGTTACCTCCTCCATCACTGCCCACTTCCTATATCTGAAGGGGCACTGAAGTGTTAGGGGTAGACTTTAAGGGAGCGAGAGCAGAAAGGATCTAGTTAAAAGCCACAAGGAGGAGGAAGTGAAAAACCTGGGAGCTTGAGACCTTAGAGGAATAGATAGGAAAAAAGAGAGAGAGAGAGATGGAGAGGGAGCCACTGCCTTTGTTTCCTCCATTCCCAAGAAACTGGGGATCTACTTATTCCCCTGAGATGTCTCCCTCACAGTTCAGAAGGGGAGGTTGGGGAACATTACCTCCTGTGACTGGGCAACGGTTACCTGTCTTTGGGGGGGTGGTTGGGAGACAGTTATGCTGGGGACAGGGTAGCAGTAACCCCTGCCACACCGGAGGCTGGGCGAGGCTCATCTCATTCTGCTAGGCCCTTCATGTCAGCTGGGTGCAGGCTGGCTGTTGGCATAGGCCTGGTCTGGGAAGGAAGCTCGTGCTCTGCGGGTCTGGGCACACACTGATGCGTAGAGCTCCGGCTCTGGGCCTGAGGCCTGGGGCTTTGGCTCAGAATCCAGTACCACCTCTGAGTACTTAATAGGGGTTCCAGGGCTGGGGATGTGGCCCTGAGACGGCCGCAACTGCAGGCTGGTATAGCACATCACTTCCTCCGCAGCCTGGAGATTGAAGGCTGTTAGAAGTTCCCTGGACCTTTGGAAAAGCCCCCACTTCCTTCCCTCCCCTCTTCTCAGCCGCAACTGACTCACCATGGCGGGGCCTCTAGGAGTTGGATCCTGTTGGTCTGGCCCTGGTTCTTGAGACAGCCGACCTGGGATAGGGAACAGTACTAATCTGGTCACTTCTGGTTCCTCCTCTTGCAATCCCTCATCCCACCCACCCAGGACGTGCGTGGCCTCTGTGCCCCTCCCCTCTGCCAGCTTCCTACCAGTCTGAAGATAAGGCAGGTTCCCATATAGGGGGACCTCTTCCACAGATCCTCCAGAGCTGCAAGAGAGAGATGACGGGATGGGTGGGGACGTCTTCGTAAGGGGGAACTCTTCGATCACCTCTCTCCGTTGTCCCCTACTCACCGTTCCTGCTTCGGATGGCTTCTGCTCTGGCCACTAGTCCATCGGAACAAGTGCGCAGCCAGCGAGATGAGAAGCAGCAGCGACACAACCGCTAAGAGGGCCCACAGTCCCCAGGCCTGGGCCACGGAGGGGATTCCTGTGGACACCAGAGGATGGAGGGTGTTACTGCCCAGCCCAACCCTCCAGGTCCTAGCAGGTGGGACATGGGAACATATGACCCCTCCTCCTCCCCCTGCCCCGCCCAGCTCACCAGGCACTAGCAGATCTGAAGTGTAGTTGTCACTTCTGCTCATGACTGCTGACATGGGAGGTGAGTCTGCAAGCCCTGTGCTGAGAGGTCAGCCTGGTTTATGGCCTGATAGCCGCTGCAGGCCCCTTTATTCTCACCCCTCCTTGGGCTTGGCCCCCACAGCTCAGCATCCCCAATACTGGTGGTGGCAGAGTCACTGGTTTCCGGGGAGGAAGGGGGAGGGGAGGGATGAGTGAAAGAACAAAGACACCGCCCTGTGCCTGCACCTGCGCCACCCAGCATCTCCTGAGTTTCCGCCCACCCCTTGTTGGCCCTACACCTTCTTTGGCCACAGAAGAGACAGGCTGGCCTGAGATTACGGTGCTACTGTGCAGGTGAGCCCATGAAGACTCCCAGAAGATAAAATAGCATGAGGCAGGACCAACGAGACAAGGAAGCCAGGCCTTAGGACTCTGAGACCATGAGAGAATGTATTCCTCACTTAGCATGCTACAAAGGGGAATGGGACAGGGATCTCTCCATGCTCTAAGGTTGACTGTAGGGGATAAGATGACCATTATCATTTTTATTATTACTGGTATAAGAATTTAGGGGAGGGGATCCCTGGGTGGCTCAGTGGTTTGGCGCCTGCCTTTGGCCCAGGGCGCGATCCTGGAGTCCCGGGATTGAGTCCTGCGTCAGGCTCTCTGCATGGAGCCTGCTTCTCCCTCCTCCTGTGTCTCTGCCTCTTTCTCTCTCTGTGTGTGTCTATCATAAATAAAAATAAATAAATCTTAAAAAAAAAAGAATTTAGGGGATAGAGGAGTTTAGATTTCCCCCTCCCAACCCACTTCATCCAAACTGTCCCTAAGAAATGCCGATCTCAAAAGTTAGTTGAATTAAAGAAAACTCTACCCCCAGTATATCCTGGGAAGCTGAGCCATTTGTTCACTTCAGGGAGTGGAGTGAGCCCTGCCCAGATACAGCCCAATCACATGGGCTGCTATTGATGTGGAAGGATTTCAAGTTCCTTAGACCACTATCTGACAATAGTGGACCCAAATTTCCTAAAGGCATCAGTCAGTTGAGAGCCATTTATCATATTATACCTGGCCCGAACCCTCTCCTTTATGTTGACTGTGCCAACTGGCTTAGGGTCAAGGTTTGGACTACACTGTTCTGCAACCAGGCTGCCTCTAGAGAGTCGGCTAGACTATGACAACTCCCCTGAGTGTGGATCTCTCCTCCCTGCCCTGCCCCCTCCATTTCTGGAAGAACAAGAAGATACACTCCCATTTCATTCATTTATTTAGTGCACATGTACCTCGTTCATTTAAGTCACATTTGCTGATTGCTTGCTAATGTGCGAAGCTCTGGAGATAGATGTGAGTGGGAAATGGCTTCTTTCCTTGATCTAATTAGAAAGATGACCCTGTGTGTCCCAGAATTAAAAGGCAGCATGGAACACAGGGAAACGCTCCAGGTTTGCCTGGAGAAGTCCTGGTGATGAAAGGTAGAGCTGGGGAGTGGGGTGCTAATGAAGCACCTGATAGGGAGACAGAAAAGCCTTGGAATCTCTGGCTTGCCTTTTACTGGATGAACTTACTTAACCTTCCTGAACCTTTGTTTCCTTATTCCTTAAAAGAGCTTAATTAGGGGGATCCCTGGGTGGCGCAGCGGTTTGGTGCCTGTCTTTGGCCCGGGGCACGATCCTGGAGACTCGGGATCGAATCCCACACTGGGCTCCCGGTGCATGGAGCCTGCTTCTCTCTCTCTCTCTCTCTCTCTCTCTCTCTCTCTCTCTCTCTCTCTCTCTCTCTGTGACTATCATAAAAAAAATAAAAAAAAAGAGCTTAATTAGGGGCGGCGCCTGGGTGGTTCAATCAGTTAAGTGCCTTCAGCTCAGTTCATGATCTTCTAGGTCCCTCAGTGGGCAGTCTGCTTCTCTCTGCCCTCCCCACCACTTGTGCTCTCTCTCTTTCAAATAAATAAATAAAATCTTTTTTGTTAAAAAAAAAAAGCTTAATTACATTTATCCGTGGGGTTGTAGTTCATTCAACAAGCGCCAGGTGCTGTGCTAAGCTGTAGCAATAAAATGATAAAAGAAATATGGCCCCTGCTCCCCTGCAATTTACAGTTCAGTGATTTTTTCTTTTTATAATGAATCTTAATGGATTAATTGATTTTTAATTAACTGGAATGGACTGAAGTGGATTTTTCCCCCAGTTTTATTGATATAAAATTGACATAGGATGGTGGTTTAAAGAAAGTACAAAGCTGCACCAATGAATAAATTAGAAGTTAAGGGCTCTGAAAAAGGAAACCCCTGAGATCTGAAGGGTGTGTAGACGTTAACTGTACAGAAAGGAAATAGCAGTGGAAGGTGCTTAAGAGAGTTAAAAATTCAAGTGCCCCAAGGTAAAAATCACTAGTAGGTAGGCATGATTCTAAGCACCTTACTTGTATTATCCCACTTAATCATAACAACTCTGTGAGGTACATTCGTATTATCATTACCTCCATTTCTCAAAGTGGAAACTGAGGCAAACAGAAAAATTAAGTAAGTTGTCCAAACTTAGCTTTCGAGTACTGGAGGCAAGATTCTAGGCCAGGCAACCAGTCCGTATTCTCCTGTGTGCCACGCTACGCAATGAATGGTGGCTGCTACCGGCATTTGCGGATTCGAGAGGGTGGGGAAGAGGAAGCCATTGTTGGAAGAGGGAACTGAAAAGAAAAAAAAGGATAAAGTATGTTAAGCCACAAGAGAGAAAAGTTCCGCGGTGAACTAGTCCGTCTACGAGCATGGGAAGGACTGACTGCACTTCATGTTCCGAACGGCTACGCAGGAGCCGCACGCGGGCCCGACGGCCTTTGCTAAAAAGCAGCCGCGCTGAGAATGAGCCCCGTGTGGTTGGCGCGCACCAGGCGCGCTGCCTGCGTAACTAGATTGAGCTGACGGACGACGCCCCGCCACACGCCGCTCGGCTCCCCGCGGCAAACGGATCGCTTCTTGGCGGACGTTGCAGTGCAAAGCAGGGAAAGTCAGCGTGCACGCGCACGCGGCACTCTCTGCCAAGGGTCCGGGGACTTTCCCCTAGGCGCAAATAAGGAACAAGTCCTCCGTCTGTAGCCTAGGAAACAGGCCTTCAGCACGCGCTGCGAACATCGCTGCACATGCTGCGCTTTTAAGGTGCAGGAGACTACCCATTTTATGATTAGGGTGAATAGGTTATTGACATGAAAACTCAAATCCGTGTTCCAGCACAATCTTATAAGGTTATAGGCTTCTAGAAGCATTCTGGCTAATAGGATCCCTAAATAGATAAGAAATGATTTCATTAAAGAAAGTTGGGCCCAAGTCCTATGCTAATAAGCTGCCCCGCCCACACACCAAATGGGTGTGACCTCCCAGCGCGTCCCGGAGCGGGACCCACGCGCCGCCCCGCGTGCGCATGCGCACTGGGGCTCCCGGCCAACCTTGGCGCCGCCGGGGCCTTCATTCTGTGGTCCGCCATGGCGGGCTCGTTCTGGCTCGCGGGTTTGCTGGGGCTGCTACTTGTGTCGGCACTGCCCGGGGTCCTCGGAGACCGCCCCAGCCCCGACCTCCGGGCACAGCCAGGTATCAGCGAGGGCTGCTGGAGGGAGGCTAGGACTGCCCCAGGGTCCCAGGCCCCAGCTCTGCTGACCCGCCTCTGCCGTCCTCCGCAGGGGACCCCGCCCAGGTCGGCCCGGAGGCCAAGGAACCGCGGCGGCCGTCGCCGCCCAAGGACCAGCGCGAACCGGCCAGGGCGGGAGCTCTGCCTTTGGGGGCGCTGTACACCGCAGCTGTCGTGGCTTTTGTGCTGTACAAGTGTTTGCAGGTGCGGGACGACCAGGGGTGGGGATGCCCCGGGCCTGAATCTCCCATGGGGGCGCTATGGTACCGTGAACAAGACATCTCTTCCGTCGGTCTGTAAAAACGAAGACCGTAGTTCTTGACTCTCCCAACACTAGGGGGTTATTTTGAGCATCCAGCGAGGCAGCAGATGTGAAGAGCCGTTGGTAAACTGTCAACAAATAATGACCACCACATTTAATGCTCCCAACAGTCCAATGAAGAAGTTAAGTCATTTGCTCAAAGTCACGCAGACCTAGTAGTAACTGGTAGGGCTGGGACTTAAACCCGGCAAGTAACTGTCCGTGTTACAAAAGTGTGGCTCCTGGTAAGATTCCAGTCTTGATACACTGTTGATTGCTATGGCCACAGTATTCAAGGCACCTGTCTTATGTTCTTAGAAAGGAGGCCTTGAGATACAAACTGACAGTACATTTTAGTGTGTCGAAATGATTGAAATGGAAAATGATACCTTCCACGGCTGTCTTCAACCCTGGCCCGACTACTTATCTGCATTGGGAAATAGAAGGCTGAACCAATTTGGAGATAGGAAATTAAAAGGGAGAGCTAATCATGATTCCAAATAGACTTGACAAGTTAGGATGAGGGACTGGATTTGATGGTGAAGTTTAAAGAGAATCGATAATAAACTCTATTTGTGGACCCCCGTACTATCTGGAAGAAACTTAATTTAGCGGTTTAGTAGTTGAATAATAAAGTTCACTTGTGTATGGTGACAACCCACTTCCCCAGTCAATGCAAGGAACAGGGTAGTGCACCTGGTCTTCTGATCAGAACAGTCCTGGAGAGTTTTATTCTCTTCTGGGCACTACTTTTAAGAATACTACATGCCCAGTAGAGCAACCAGAGAAAACCATGTCAAATGAGCACTCACTGAATAAAATTGGTAATATTAAACCAGAGGAGACATGGGGAAGGGGAGTGAGCAAGGACTATCGTCTTCAAATTCCTGAGTGGCTATCACATTGAAAAGATCTTTGGAAGGCAACATGGAAGGTGTACAAAGGAAAAATTTTGGCTTTGTATACAAACTAACAGAGCTTTATCAAACTGGAGAGCCGCTCATTCCTGGGAGTCTTTCATTAGACTGAACAACCATATATGTGGGGCATAGTGACATGTTGCTTCAGGTCCCAGGTGAGGAGCTAGACTAGATGTAATAGCGATTCTCTGAAGTAAAAACTCCATAGCTTTCTCTAATTGAAATTCTCCTCCTCCCCCTCTCACTGGCTTGGAGACTGAGGTGATGGGGAAGCTTGTTGCAGTCTAGCCCTCTCTTTCTACAGCAGGGGAAAGATGAGGCTGCAGTTCTCCAAGAGGAGGCAGGCAAGAAGGAATCATTGCAGTCAGGTAGGTTTTGCACAAGTCTGTGTTTGGTAGGGGGTCAGGGGGGCAGCAGAAGGTATAAATAACCATTGCTCTCCTTTTCTCCTTCACCCCCAGAGCAACAGCTGGCCCAACTGACACAACAGTTGGCCCAGACAGAGCAGCACCTGAACAATCTGATGGCCCAGCTGGACCCCCTTTTTGAGCGGTAAGAGCAATGACCCTGTGGCCAGGGGAACTTGTGATAGGTGGAAGAGGGGGGGACAGAGATTAGGTAGCTGCTGAGTAGGTATTTCTACAGTGTGACTACCCTGGCTGGAGCCCAGCAGGAGCTTCTGAACATGAAGCTTCAGACCATCCACCAACTGTTACAAGAGAGCAAGCCAAATAAGGGTGTGGACGTTCCAGAACCAGGTAAAGGGTTGGGAGGAGAGAGTCGGGTGGGGGTAGAGACTGTCTCTGAGATAGGAATATCCCTGATCTTTCCCCTCACAGAGGCCAACATACCCTTTCCTGAGGACTCATATATAGAGGAGGAGGAGGAGGAGGAGGAGGAGGCTGGTGACAGTCAGGCCTGGGAGGAGCCCTTAAACTGGAGCACGGAGACAAGAAATCTAGCTACTCCCTGGGAAGTGGAGCAGGGTCTAAGGAGAAGATGCAGCAAGGCTGTGGGAAGGACTGCAGGCACAGCCCCCGCCAAGGAGAAATGATAGCTGGAGGTTTAGTAAAACAGAGTCTGTTCTTGTGACTGGATAGTCCTGTGTGCTTTTTCATTCCAACTGGTCATACACACACCCATACTAGGTGCCCAAGAACAACTGGGCCTTCTTGAAAAGCTTCCCTTATTAGGATAAAAAGAGGCCACCTTCCAGTGTGAGAGCTGAGAGATAGAGGGAGCTCCAGCTCTTTTCCTTGTTCTCCTGAGGCCACCATCATGCCAGCCTTCAGGGCACAAAAACCTCTCCTCATATCGTAGAGCTGAGACAGAAAAGCCTTTCCAAAAAGGGGAAGAAAAAAAAAACATTTTACTAAAATCCAGTGGAAAAATAAATTATAGAAAATGCATACAACATAAAAACATCCACGTTTACAAAGGTGCAGTCTTGATAAACAATCAGCCATAGAGCCAGCACCGACGTGACCAGTCCTGAATCCCCTCATCTGTGTTGGAGGGGCTGGTTCAGCAGAGCTTCCACGGGGTCAGACTCGGTTTCCTGATCCCCGGGGGCTGGTCACATGAGCTGCCATGGCTTGGTCCCAAGCAAACACGAAATGACTTCTCAACACCATGAAGGATCTGTTTCGTTTAGTTAGTGGTGAAGATTTCTCTGTACTCTTGACTTTGACCTACCCCTCAAGTATCCTGGGTTCTGGAATTTTAAGATTCTTCTAGTTCTTCTGACTACTGTGGAGAGAAGACAGTCCGTTTAGGCACTGGCAAGAGCACTCTACTCAGACAAAATCACCTCTGGTATTGGGGATGCAGTGGCCCAGCAGATGTAACACCTGAGACAGGATTAAACTGCTCCCTTCTCACCCACGGGCCTCTTCACAGCACTCTTCCTGAGGGAACCCACCTGATGGCCAAAGTCAAACTGTGGTGCCAGCGCAACAGCTCCTCCTGGTCAGTGCACATAAGCAGTAGCTTCTCGTGGGGAAAGGACAGCTAGGGAGAAATCACCTCTTAGTGCATGGCTCAGAAAGGTCCAGGCTAAAGCTGAAGCCCTTGCTGTTTCCATGGAGGGAATTCAGGGCTGAGGTGAGAATTAGGCAGGAACAAACCCCAGGCCCCCTGCTATCTCAGTGCAGGTAGCTTAGTTCCTCTGAAGGAGGCCAAGGAGATGCATGGGTACACAGGCATTTGAGATCTATTTTGAGCCTCTCCTACCTTACCTAGAGCTCCCACCTATGACTCACACTGAGCAGTCCACCACAGGGGCCTCCTGAGTGGCCAAAGACCCTGTGGAGTTGACACTGGGCCATGGGATAGAGGGCACGGCAGGCAAAGGTGCCACTCTGCAGCAGGTGCAGTGGGGGTCGAGGTTTGGCCATGAGGAGCACATCAGAGAAGAGGAAGAACATTCGGGGCCGAGGCTCCCCACGGGGAGGCACTACCAACAGCCAGCCCTGGCGCAGGAACCAGCGACCTGGGGGGTGGGAGAGCTGTTATTCTGGGACAGCTCCAGGACCAGGAGCCACGAGAGCAGAAGGAAGGGGAGGCTGATGAAATGGGGCGCATGTGCTGGCAATAGAAAAAAAGGAGGGCCTGAAAAGAGCAATTTGAGGACAGGGTGGGGGTGAAGGGGCAGGGGGAGAGGAGGAGAGTGTGCAGACTACCTGAGGTGAGCCCTTTTGCCTGGCGGCCGCTGAGCAAACCCTGAATGCGCTGGAGGTGCTGGTCATTCCTCTGTCTCTGACCAATGCTGTGGACTCTCTGGGCAGTCTCACTTATCAGCCGGGCAGCCCCTGGAACAACATCCCCCGCCTCCCTCCCAGCACAGCTTGGACTTTGGCTGACTGAGGGTGGTGACAGGCTATTCTGGAGGGGACCAGGGTGAGGGTGGAAGACAGGGACACACCAGACCTTGCTGGAGGTCAGATTCAAAAAGGGACGCAGGGGAGGCAGCCTCTCCTCAGTGTTTCAGGGAGTGAGAACGTACGTGTGAGCTGCTGGTGGTCAGGGCTGCTGGGAACTGTATTTTCAGCCAAAGCCACGACAAGATTCTCATACCTGGAATTAGACCGCTGGAAATCCACAAGCGGAAAGCAGAGCTGGGCAGCATTCCTTCCGCCTGACATACAGAACGCTCCCCACACATACTTCAGTTGCAAAGCCAGGAAGGCTCTGCTTCTGATTGTGTCCCCACCTCTTTCATCTGAGACTCAGAACATGGGCTCACACCACATGGCCCTCTTCCACCCCACACTGCAGAGTCAGCAACCTGACTGCAGGCTCCTTAACATCCCCCCCCCCCAACAGAAACCTAAGCTAGGCGGACCTCTCATCTCAACAAACTCTCCCACGCACCGTGCTTGTCACTAGCTCTATTACTGCACCCCTCACTGCAGTGCAGAGTTCCACATTCCTAGCTAAGGGCCTGAGGCTACAGACCCCAGCTACTCCAGTGGGTTCACACTTAATCTTGCAAGAGGCTTTTTAGGAGCAGTTTGTCCCAGGAGAGAGGCAATGGGACAGAGGCCATAAACCCCACAAAGCTGAGAGCGGCAATCCTATAGACTCAGAAAAGAGAAGCTGGCTGAGGCCAGTTGAGTTTACTCACTGCTGGAGTCTCTGCAGAGGTAGAGGGAGCAGGTCCTGAAGACGAAGGCTCCCAAACTCAGGGCGGCCTTCCTGAAGTCGCACAAACCTCCGGAAACGTTTGTTCTTCTTTAGCTGCTCCTGGAGTGACGGGGAAAGGGTTGGCAGCCACAGAGAGAGAAGCCACTCTCTGTGTACACATGCTCAGCCCTCTGTAAGCTGTGTGCTCTTGAGAGAACCCCGACAGTGAACCCAGCACAGACGAGGGGGGGACCCACAGGGTGCTATGCATGTGGCAACAGTATGAAGTTTGGATCACTAGAGGAAGGGGCAATGCGCAGGGCAAGAGGGGAAGCCCTCGAGATTATCTCCAGGTTACCTGCAGGGTGGTCCGGGACTTCTCTGCATTGGCAGCGAACTGGGTGTAGAGCTCAAGGTGGGGGCAGAAGCTTTCCAGCCCCTGTCCCCAGTGCCCTCCTTCAAGGTAGGGAAGCAGGTCTCTGCGTAGGTGAGGACAAAGACCGGTCCAACAACTACCCAAGCACCAGCTCATTTAATTCTCATAACCTTGCCCTGAAGGTAGTGCTATTACCCCATTTTACAGATGAAAACTGAGGCAGGTGAAGGCACTGGGCCAAGACCACAGGTGAGATAACTGGCAGGCTCCGCACAGGAGTCTGGGTCCCCCCACTCCAAGCTCGAGCACCGCCAGAGAGCAGGGCCCTCCCTGCCCTCTGACCCCGCGCCCCTTCTACTCACTGGCTGGCGCCGTAAATGAGCTCCCAGGGCCCAAACAGGGCGTGGCGCTCGGCCGCTCGCAGGGTGCCCTTGGCTCTCAGAATCCCCACGAAGTACTGCAGGAGGAGAACACCGCTACCCAGGCTGCAGGGAGAGCGCTGACGCCGCGCCGCCAGGAACTGCGGAACGCCTGCGCTCTCTCGGTGCTGGCGGGCAGCCCCAGGCCCGCGCGGCGCGGCCCCCGACCTCGCAGAGACCCTCCCGTCCCCTGCGGTCCCCGCCCCATACGGGAGGGCGAGCGCCGCCGCACCGTGGCCACCAGCCCCAGCTGTTCCTGGTAGCGCCGCTCGGTCTGCAGCAGCTCCCGGGCAGTGCAGGTGCGCTTCCGCTCCCAGCGGGCACGCTGCTCTCGCACCGGGCACCGTCCGCCGGCGCCCGACGTCTCCATGCCCAGCTGACCAGGCTTCCGGCCGCGGCCCGCCGGAGATTCAAATCCCAACCGCTCCGGGGGCGGGGCCGGCGGGAGGAGTGCGCCCCCTGGCGCCGGGAGGCTGAACGCAGGCCGGAGCGTGCGCGGGGGCCCGCCGACCCGCACCGAGTCTCCGCCGTTAAGGCCTCGCCCCGCCGCCAGGGCGGCGCTGTCGGGGTGCGAGGCCGGCTCAGGCAACGTCGAGTGGGGCAGGAGGGGTTAAGTCCGCCTGTGGCGTGGGGCGAAGTTGGGGCAGCCGTCTGGACCTCGAGTCCAGGAGATTTGGGAGTGCAGACACCAGGGGGCCTCAGTGTCCCAGGTGTAAAATTAGGAAGGGGGCAATCATTATGGTATGTTTTTTGTCCTGGGCCTGCGCCAAACTCTGGGGCACAATTGTCCCCACTGCTTTCACTACTAGGAAAGCTCACAAGTCACAAGGTTTGAAATATTTTGGCCCTCAGATAGAAGTCAATAGGTTTTACGTTACTAAGTCGTTTTCTCTTTTCATACTGATCCCAAACCTGACAGCCAATTAGCTCCTGGTCAGCAAACGTCAATAACCAACGTGGGGGTTGGAATTGCTGTAATTCTGGTCAAAGGCTAAAGCTTGGAGTCGATTAGTCTGTGCTACCCAGTCAAAGATAAACAGACCTGATCCTCCTTAGTTAGGTCTTTTGAAAAATTGGTAGTGGTCCTGGAGGGTAAATTGGCAGTGCCATTTTGTGAGTATGTATGAGAAGTCTTAAAATGTGCTTACTCTTCTCCTAGCAATTCCATTTTTAGGGATGCATCCAAAGAAATAGATATGTGGACAAAAATATATATATCAGGATGGATTGTACAGTGATGTTTGTAACAATAGGAAACTGGAAACCATCTAAATGTCCAGTGGTAGAGAATGGGCTAGGAAAGTTATGGTACAGCTATTTGAAGGAATAATATGAAAGCATTAAAAATGATGTAAAAAAAACCCCTATCAATATGGAAAAACACACAAAATATATTTCCAAGACCAAAAAAAGCAAGGCTAACAAAGATGTTTGTACAATATGATCCCATTTATGTATAGCATACATAGGACTGGAAGGATAAACAATCAAGAGGTTGTGGTTGTTATCTCTGGGTGATGGGATTGAAGTTAATGCACTCTACAAATATATTTTTTTAAGCACCTAATCTAGGCCAGGCACAAGATCACTGAGGTTAAAAGGGTGATTGGGACAAATACAGTGCTTTTTAAATTTTCCTTATGTTTTTCTGCTTTTCCCAAGTTTTGTGCTTAAGCATGAATGCATTACTGTTTAATTAGGAAAAAAAATACTATTAAACACCAAAATGTTAAGAAACCTTCAGGCCTCACATTCCTACCACAGTGAACTCCTAAGAATTTGGACCCCAAGACAAGAACCAGAATACTGATAGGGTTCTGAAGCCCCTCTAGCTCTCTGACATTCTAAGAATTCTAAGGAGAAATGCTGGACTTAGATCAGGGAAAAACAATATGGAGAGTTGGAGGTGGAAAGAGAAAGTTTGGGTGAGACTGTACCTTGGACTCAGGTTACAAGGAAATTGGTGATAACCTTGTAGGCCAACTGGTTATACTGTCTCAAGTGAATGTGGGGCAGTCCACACTAAGGGTTCAAGGGTGGAAGGAGGCATATAATCCCATAGTAGTCAGTATCACCATGAGTCTCTTCTGCAGCCCTGGGATGAGCAGAAACATGGCCCTAAATGCCTGAAGACACAGACTCTAATGACCAAAGAGTTGGCTATAAACGCCGCAGAGGTGATGCATCAGGCAGGGTGTGCCCCAGTCAGTTGGTCCTGAGGACACCATGTCCCAACCTGGGGAGGGTCAGGGAACAAGACTCTGGGAACTCAAACCTGTTTTAGAGTTTGGCAGGCTCCCAGCTGCAAAGGCAAGATCCAGGGTCAGAGTCTCTATTCCCCACCCAGACCAGAAACACACACACACACACACAGAAACAGAGCACTTATGAAAGAGCACCATGGAGAATGGTGTTTGGAAAATTAAAAGACTGAAACAGAGACACCTGCACATAGACACAGATCTGGGCTCTGAAATACTAAAACCAAGTGAGATGGCAGGCAGATGTGTGGACATAATAGAGCACTGCAGAGAAGTGTACCAGGGTATCCTGACAGAGACCTAAAAAGGAAAACGATGGAAATAGGAAGAATACTTGGAAAGAGGGAAAATGCAGTAAAGCAAGGATGGATCTTGGAGAAAGATCTCTGCACATACAGTCTCCAGACTCCACTTAGCATGGGGCTTCTGTCTTCTGTGCTTTCCATGACCTCTTCCAACTCAACTAGATTAGTCATTACCACATTCTGTCTTGTCCAGGTCTGTCCGATTCAGATATTACCATGTACCTTCCATATGTCAGTGTCTAACCAAGGTGCTGACATCACCACTGACCCAGACAATGAGCTGATCTTCCACATTGCACACTGGATCAGATTTCCATGGATGGCTCTTAATTTGACTCCAGAAATAGCAACCTAGATTGTTAGGCTGACTGCCTCTCTGGAGGATAGCAGTTATTCAGCTCTGTGCAAGTTTTGGTATGAAGTATGACAGTTAACCTGACAAGGCAGATAATTTGGGGTGCCGTAAAAACATGACGTCATGCTTTTGGAACAGATGTGGTTTGACAAACACAAGTCATTGACGATGAGCTCCCTGAGGGCAGGTTTGGTTATTCAGTCAATTTGGTTTTTCTCAAGTCCTGGCAAGGTGATCTGCAGAGAGAAAAATGCTCAATAATGGTTGGTGAATAAAAGACTTAATCAAATACTGGACCCTGCCCTTAATGGAGCTCAAGACTATTAGAGCAGATAAAATGTCATAAATCACCATAATATAAGTTGGATGGTGGGCAAGGTGATTAGCGAGTGCAGGCAAAGAACTGTGGTGGTTCAGCGGCACCAGAAATCTCTTCCATGATAGAGAGTGGAGGAGGTGGCTTTTGAGCTGAGTCTTGAACCATAGAAGGGATTTAGACAGAAGAGAGAGTAAAAATCATTAACAGGGTAGTGGGTACACAAGTACCCATTCATGACAGTGGAGATTGGCTGGGGCATTCAAGTGGGGTCCTTGGGCCTCCGCTCTGCCAGGCATTATCTCTTTAGATAAGAGATCAGTAGAGTTCCCGGGGAGGAGTGAGGTAGCAGGAGCCACCCTGAAGCTAGGGGCTAGTTCTCAACAAAATTAGAAATACTTCAATATATTTCTCCAATCCATACAACCATACAGGTGCATATCTACTGAGTGTTAGCCCAAGCTAGGAACTTCCTGAGATGGTCTTACTTTCTTCTGGTTTGTTGAAACCATAGGGACCTTATTATAATGTGAGCTACAGAACAGTAGAGGCTGTCCTCTAGTTCAATGCTGCATCCCTACGGCTTAGAACAGTTCTTGGAGGGTTGGAGGGGGCTCAATAAATGTTTCTCAAATGAACAGCCATACTGGGAACCCCAAGTCCATTCTTGGGGTCCTTTCACTCTTCTCCTTGCCCTTGCTCTCCCCCAGCCCTTAGCACAACCTAATATGAGAATTGGATTCCGTCATTCTCCTGCACAAGATATCTGATGCCTTTCCTTTGCACAAAATCCCATTCTCCACCTTGTTTTTAGCAATTGAACTGCTTCTTTTTCAAAGCCCTGATCATATTTTGCCTACTTATGTATTACTTTCTTAGGCAGAATTAATCTCTTTCCCCTGAATATTGTGATAGTGTTTGCCCTCACTCACTAGACAGTGAGATCCTTAGGACAGGGACTGTATCTTATTCATTTCTATACCTTTAGTCCATAGCCTAATGCTGGACATAGTAGATGCTAAATAAATATTTGTTAAATATAAGACTGAATGGTATTCCCAGCAGTGAGAACTAGATGAACAAAGGGGGTTAAAGGTCTGGGGGAAAAATTAATACTTTAATTTGGCTGGAATATGAGGGAGAATAGTAGGAAGCAGCTCCCCCAACAAGCTCTAGTCAACTACAGGAAGATGGGCAGGTGGAAGCCAATGAAGGTTTTTGAGAAGAGGTGTAAAAATGTGATGAAAAATAAATTTACTTTAAAACATCACCGTTGCTCTCCTATATACACTCAGTTTTTCATTTATACTCAGATTTGCCTCCCATCTACCTATCTGTCCACCCACTCCCAGGCTTCCCCAGCAGCTTGTCCTACCCCTTTATCTGGTCTGTGGCTCGGCCAGGGATATATTCATGGGCTGCTTCCCTCTCAGCCAGAGGCTGTGCGGGCCCCAGCTCCCTGTCTTTCCCCTTCTCTGCCTGGGGCTGGGAAGCAGGCCAGGGTTAGCTGAGGCTGGCTGGTGAGCAGCTGGGTGGTGCCAGGGAGAGCCTGTGTAGTGCCAGGTGGTGCCTTGGGTTCCAGGCTGAGCCTATGACCCCGATAACCTCCTGCCTGTGCATATACCTGCCTCTCACATCCAGGCTTTGGTATCGGGGAAGGGGCCCAGGGCCAGGCAGACCCACGGGACTTTGGCTCTATCTCTACAAAAGGGCCCTCTGTGAGTCAGCCCGCTCCCCTCCAGGCTTGCTCCTCCCCCACCCAGCTCCTGTTTCCAATGCACGTACAGCCCGTACACACCGTGTCTGGGACACCCCACAGTCAGCCGCATGGCTCCCCTGTGCCCCGGTCCCTGGCTCCCTCTGTTGATCCCAGCCCCTTCTCTGGGCCCTAGTGTGCAACTGCTGCTGATACTGCCACTCGTGGTGCCTGTCCATCCCCAGAGCCTGTCCCGGATACAGGGGACACCTGGGTTGGGAGGAGATTCATCTGGAGAGGATGATCAATTGGATGAGGAAAACCTACCCAGTGAAGAGGATCCACATGGAGAGGAGGACCTGCCTGGAGAGGAGGACCCACCTGGAGAGGAAGACCCACCTGTAGAGGAGGACCCATCTGGAATGAAGACTGAACCAGGAAAAGAGGACTCTCTGAAGTTAGAGGATCTACCTACTGTTGAGGCGCCCAGGGACACCCCAGGCTCCCAGAATAATGCCCACAGGCACAACAAAGGTAAGTGGTTATCAGCCCTCCAAGTCTAGGCTCCAGGAGGTTTGTCCTCCAGGTGCTCAACCCTAGCCCAGGCAGGGATTATTCAGCGAAGAAAAGGAGCCTGTACGCTGACAGTAGCCTTTCCCATCCCCTTGGGATTTCATGCCACTAAACACTCCCCTCCCCCCTTTCAGAGCTAGAAGGGGATCTGTGGGGAGACAAAAAAGCACAGATGGAGAGGTGAGCAGGAAGAGACGAAAAAGAAAGGCGGAGGTTGGAGAGGAGAGAGAGATGAGGAAAATGGAAAGAGATATGAGGAGAGAAGAAAGAATATGAGGGGAGAGAAGAAAGACGGTAGCAGGGTGGGTAGCAGTGGAAGAGCCAGGAGGGCTTGTAGAGATCACCGCATCCCCAGTCTACAGATGAGGAAAGCGAGACTTAGGAAGAAGGAATAGTAAGTAGGGGAACCTGGTTTTTTGACTGAGAAACCAGGAGACTCAGAAATGAAGAACCTTGGGAAGGGAGTTGGAGACAGGGAGAAAGGGAAGAGGGTCTATTGTTTTGGGCCTGGGGACCAAACCCCTTTACCCACCCCACTCCCCACTTTACAGACTAAGACAAGGTTGCAAACTGGTATCTCTGGGGCCTGTAGGATCTTTGATCTACCAAGCTACGGTGTTATGTTGGTTGCAATCTGTTGTGCTTTATACCTGGCCACGTAAGGCCTTCCCGTTACCTCCTATGCCCCTGTCCAGCAGGGGAACGCACTTCCTTCTGGCCGCTGGGGAGGGACTGGGCTTAAATATCGGCTTTCCGTCCTTCTCACTTATGCAGGGGATGACCACAGTCATTGGCGCTATGGAGGTGAGACACCCACCCCTTGCACACCCAACCTGGGCACCCTGCTCTGCCGACCTGACCCCCCAGAACTTTGGTTCCCGGGCGTCCCACCCACGGCACCCGCCCGCCAGCCCGCAGCACGGCCCGCTGCCCTCTCGGCCCACAGCCCCGATTTCTATTTCCCGCCCGATGCCTTCTCACTCCACCCTCTCACTTTTTCTACCCGCTTCCCTGACCGGCCCTGATCTTGTCACCAGACTTCCCGTCCACACTCTCTCGCTCCAGGAGACCCGCCCTGGCCCCAGGTGTCCCCAGCCTGCGCGGGCCGCTTCCAGTCGCCCGTAGATATCCGGCCCCAGCTCGCCGCCTTTTGCCCGGCGCTGCCACCGCTGGAGCTCCTGGGCTTTGAGCTCCCGCCACTCCCAGAACTGCGCCTGCGCAACAATGGCCACACCGGTGAGGGGGGTCTCGCCGCGGAGCCGCCCGGAGGGGGCGGAGCCTGTCGGGGGACGGGCCGGGGCCGAGAGCGGGGGCCGGCCACGCCCGCGCCAGGCAGTTAGACACCCCCCACCGCCACCGCCACCCCCACCGCGCCACCCCCGGCTCACCTGGCTCTTCCCTCGCAGTGCAGCTGACCCTGCCTCCGGGGCTGGAGATGGCCCTGGGCCCCGGGCGGGAGTACCGGGCCTTGCAGTTGCACCTGCACTGGGGGGCCGCGGGCCGCCCGGGCTCGGAGCACACGGTCGACGGCCACCGGTTCCCAGCCGAGGTGAGCGTGCGGCGGCGAGGCCAAGGGGGACGCTGGGCCGGGGGTCTTGCCCACTTCTACCCTCCGTTTCTCTCCAGATCCACGTGGTTCACATCAGCACTGCATTTGCCAAAGTTGAGGAGGCCTTGGGACGCCCGGGGGGGCTGGCCGTGTTGGCCGCCTTTCTGCAGGTACCAGCGCTGGACACCCCTATTCCCTGCTTCCCCACGCCACGCCCCAGGGCTCAGTGTAGCTTGACCCCGGAGACCCCATCCTAACACAGGCACCCTGGCACCTGGCAGGCCTCATTCACTCATTAATTCATCCAACACGCACTGTGAGCCAGGCACTGAGCCACACCAAGGACTCGGAAACCCTGGCTCCTTGATTGTAAGGAGCCCACAGCCGGTGGAGGCAGCTGACAATGAAAGGCACATATGGAGGGCACATACATAGCAGAGGTGGTCAGAGGAAAGTTCCCAGAGGTCAGACTTGAAGCCTGCAGTAGTGGGAAGGAAAGGGAGATATTCCATATATTCCATGCAGAGCCAACATTATATGTGGACTATGATACACTCAGGGAATGGCAAGTGGAACAGAAGGGACACCAGGAAGAGGAGTTTCTTAAATACTCCTATAACTCATAATTTCCGCTTTGTGAAATGCAGTAAAGCCTAGAGAAATATTTAGTGACCTCTTTGGGACCTGTAACAATCAGGGCTACCTACATAGTGATTAGAAGAGACTAGTAAAATGCAGGGATGATGGGGAGATACCTTCTAGGCTCAGTCACTGCCTAACTGGCTCTTTAACGCCAGCCTCACAGCACAAAGTTCAGAGAAGGCATCTGAGATAGGATGTCCTTGCTCCAAAACTCAAACACATGAACTCTTAAGGTGAATGTAGAGGAAATGAGAATACAAAAGTTATTATGGTTTTCTGTGGGGAGACCATGAGTGTGTATGTGGAGGTAGGATCAGTGAGACTGGAAAAGATAGCAGGACCCAGGTCACAGTCAAGTGGCCCATCTTCCTGCTTCTCCAATTTGCCATTGAAACCAGCCCACCAAGCAGGTTAGGTCAGTAACCTGCTAGAGTAAATCGACCAAGTAATAATACACAAGATTTTATGTTCTCTCAGCATCCTCAGAGCTGAGAAACGGGAGGAGTATGCAAAGCCCACCTCACCTTCAGGCCTCCAGCCATAGCCCTAGATGCCTATAAGAATCTGTCTTGTACTGCCATTTCCCAGGAGGGTCCAGAAGAAAACAGTGCCTATGAGCAGTTGCTGTCACATTTGGAAGAAATCACTGAAGAAGGTGAGTTTGTTGGTCTGGCCACTGTCCTCAATACCCTTGTTCATAAAGAATTGTCCTTGGGAAGTCTCGGAGTGAGAATGGATGATCGGCTCCCTCCCACAGGAAGGGAAACAATGTGTGAAATGACTGACTATGACCTTGACAATAACTATAAAGCTGAGCAGAGGCCCACAAGCTTTATGGCTAAAAACCAAGACAGACAAAAACCCCACCTCACCCCCCAAAAAAAAACCCAAACCCCACAAAACCCAAAATCAAACAAAAACCAATAAAAAACACAAAACAAGACCAAAAAAAAAAAAAAAAGTGAAATTTCAGAGGTTGAGTCTGGGGAGCAAAAATATTTCTGAAAACGATTTCTCCTTAATAAGCATCAAATATTTTAAATTTGTACTTTTGTTGGGAATATTTCCCTTCTCAGCTACTCTGAGTTATTTTAAATCTCACTACTCTACTTACATTTTACTGAACTAGAGGAACTGTGCTTTTGTGTTTTTGTGTCTTTTTTATGGTTTCAAATGTCTATATTTGTTTACAAGCTATTCAGCTAATTTTTCCTTTTGATTCATTTGGGCTTAAATCCATAGTGTAGCTTGTTATCGTAGTATGCAAAGTAAGAGTGAAGACTCAGGGAGGACCTAGGGAGAACTTCTTTCACTCTGTGAAGACTCATGCACTTTCTTTTGAGTTATGTCTTGTGCTGAGTTATGGGAAGGGACACAGTGAAGAAAGAGGTGGTCTCAGGAAGTTGCATCAGCATGGCTTCTGGGAGATGAAGTTGTACCCCTATACCCCAAAGCTTTGGAGAGAAGCAATCTAGGTGGGATTCCAGCATAGGTCCTCTCCACAGACTCAGAGACTTGGGTCCCAGGACTGGATGTATCCGCGCTGCTGCCCTCTGACCTCAGCCGCTACTTCCGCTATGAGGGGTCTCTAACCACACCCCCCTGTGCCCAGGGGGTCATCTGGACTGTGTTCAACCAGACAGTGAGGCTGAGTGCTAAGCAGGTGGGGCTGGGGCATGGTGTCGACCCAGGGGATGTGGGGGAAAGGGGTATAAGGATGAGATCAAGGTGCATAAACAGAGGAAGTGGGGGACATAGCGGGTGAAGCCCTAGGTGCTGGCTGTGAATAGGCCTGTGACTCTTTCATTTTCTTGTCATGAGCCCACTCCCACTATCTACTGACCTCCCTAGCTCCATACCCTCTCTGGCTCCCTGTGGGGACCTGATGACTCTCGGCTACAGCTGAACTTCCGAGCCACACAGCCTTTGAATGGGCGAATAATCGAGGCCTCCTTCCCTGCTCAAGTGGAGAGCAGCCCCAGGTCTTTTGAGCCAGGTGAAGTTTTGTGGTGACCCATATTGCCATGTTCCCTCCCTCTCCCCCCCCACCCGCCCACCCCAGGTCCCTCATCCTCCCATGTCACTGGTAGTCACAGCCCCTGGTTCTAATGTGTCTTTTTTCTCTTCAGTCCACCTGAATTCCTGCCTTGGTGCTGGTGAGTCTGTGCCCCTTCTCTGGCTCCTGACGCCTTGGTATCATTTAGCCCCAGGGGTAGGACCACCTCTACCCACTCTCCTTTTCTGAAGAACAGACCTCCAACCCCAATAAGACAGTGTCAGATCAAGGGGGAGGGGGTACTCCTGTTGTCCCCAGAGCAAGTTGGTTAGAATGAAGCTCCAGGAATCTCTTAGCTTCTTCCTTCCCAAACAGCCTCTTTTTTTGTTTTTAGGTAAGAAAAAAAGGTGCTTATCTTACTCCTTCTTATGTATCCACCCCCATCCCTTTGCTGACCTCTTCTGGATTCTAACACTGAGGGCAGCTGGAGAATCTGGGGGTCAGAGGTGGGGGATACACTATAGCAGGCTGAGGGAATCCTACAGATTCCTCTTCACTTTGAGGCAGCCTCTCCTCTTCCTCCAGGTGACATCCTGGCCGTGGTTTTTGGCCTCCTCTTTGCTGTCACCAGCATCGCCTTCATCGTGCAAATGAGAAAGCAGGGAAGGTATACTTATCCTCTTCCTCAGGCACTGCCCCACCTAGCTGGATGCAAATGAGCTCATCTTTCTGACTGGGCTTTTGTGTTGTGCAGACTCCGGAATGGGACCAAAGGGAATGTTAGCTATCACCCAGCAGAGGTCACAGAGACTGTTGCCTAGAGGCCTTGGAACTTGGAGAATGTGCAGAGAGAAGTCAACCAGAAGAATCTGAGGGGGAGCTGGAGACTTTGTCCTTTCCTACCCTTTATACCACTTCCTTTTTAAGGTTCAAATATTTTTTTTAAAATAAATGTTTCTAATAAAATATATGGAAGGCAGCTTTGTTCCCTAAATCAGGAGGATGGTGTATTTATTTCCTATTGCTGCTGCCTTTAACAAATTACCACAAACTGAATGATAATGCAAATTTATCCTCTTAGAGTTCTGGAGGTCAGAAGTCCAAAATGAATCTTCTGGGCTGAAGTTAAGGTGTCATAAGGGCTGGTTCCTTCTGGACACTTTGAAGGGAGGGGGTTTCCTTTTCCAGGTTCTAGAAGCCAAGCATACCTTGGCCCCTTCCTCAGATCACTCCAGTCTCCTGCTTCCATCGTCATGTCTTACAACTGCCTTGGGTCTTACCTCCCTCTTGTAAGAACCATTGTGATTACATTTGGACCTGTCTAGATAATTTAGGATACTCTCCCAATTTCAAAATCCTTAGGTCAATCATGAAATTCCTTTTCCCACAGAAGGTAACAATTCACAGGATTAGGGTGTGAACATCTTTGATGGGGGGCATTACTGCCTAGCACAGATGGGAAGGGGGGCATAAGTGACTTGGGGCCCCTGGGGTGGCTCAGTAGGTTAAGCATCTGCCTTCAGCTCAGATCATGATCCCAGGGTCCTGGGACGGAGCCCAGCTCAGCAGGGATCTGCTTCTCCCTCTCCCTCTCGTTCTCTCTCAAGTAAATAAATAAAAATCTTAAAAAAAAAAAAAAAAGTGACTGAGGTCAAATGGCTGGGGGCATCCACACAGCAGTCTGTCTCTGGGTAGGGCAGGCTTAGCCTCTAGGCTTAAAATCATAGTGTGGCTTTGGGGCTTTGACCCTGCTCCAGTAAAATCTGTGTAGCTTTGCAGTTTTGCCTTCAGATTGTGTTGTCTGGCAGCTCCTTTGCCCTGAGGGTAGCAAGGGCCCGGATGTTCCCCCAGACCCGAGGAGCCCTCTCTGCTTCACACAGCCCGTTCACAACCCTCAGTGAACTCAGGGCCCCCACCCCTCGGCTCCCTTAGAAAAGGAAGTCCTACAGTGGAGCATGGACCAGGCTCTGCTCACTCCTTTGTTCTCCTCGGACATCCTCTCCGCTTTTCCACTTTGTAAGACTACCACCACCATCGCCAACACCAGAGAGAGGCTGAAAGGGCCCTGTGATGCCAGTAACATCCACTTTATTGCGTTGGGGTGGCGCCGACAGCCCGGCTTGAGGCTGAGCCACCCTCACAGGTTGTTGAGCTCCAGCAGGGTCTGGTCAAGAGTCTGGTGAATCTCCACGTTCTCCTCCTTGGCACTGGCCAAGGTCTCTGTGAGGAGAAGCAGCACGTGAGGAGGGGAGAAGGAGGAGGAGACAGGCTGGGAGGGGGGTGGAGGCACAGGGAGACCTGAGCATGAAGGGATCTGAGGAGCCCGAACCAGGGGCAAATGGAGAGACTGAGACATACAGGGAGACCTCCCTGAGGGCTTCAGGGGCCTAAGGGTGGGATGGGGAGGCTGAGTCATTAACTAATTTACCTCCTTCTTTGGAAGGTTTAAGAGAGTTGGAAACAGGAGGAAAGACAAAGACTGAGCCAGAAAAGGGTGGGCCAGACAGACAGACAAGACTCAGGCAGAAAACAGATCTGCAGCGAAAGCCCCATGTCAGCATCCAGTGTCTTCCCAAACCTCTCCCCAGACCTCCCACCACCACCTGGCCCTTTCTCAGCACCTCCCCACCTGGCTCCCTGCCAGCCCCCTCTTTCTCCTGGAACTGCAGCAGGGTGCTGTGAGGTCAGCGACGGGCCTGGGTGCCTAGGTGAATGCAAGAGCAAGGCTCTCAGAGGTGGCAGAGGGCCCACGGGGATTGACAGGTAGTGTGTGCCCACGTGCAGCAGCAAGACAGTGATAGACGGGGTGGGGGGTTCTGTGTGCATTACAGTGTTCTGTGGGTGAGCTCAGTATGGGGGGGTTGTCACAAGATTGGGGTTGTCTGCAAAAAAGCCAGGATCTCTGTGGGAGTGATGGAAGTGCTCTCTGCAGGGCAGGAAAACAGCACCGAGACCAAGGTGAGTTTATTAAGCAGCAGAAAGAGGTAGAGGCTGGAGAGTGGAGTGGGTGGATAGGAGGTTGAAGCATGAGCCAAGGTGGGCGGCAAGTGCGGTTGGAGCTCTCCAAGGCTGCACCCAGGCTGGCTGCAAGATGCTGGCCATTCTGTGCCTCCTCTCTGCCCCCTGCCCACAGAGAGAATGGAAAGGGAGGAGAGAATGGGCTGAGGGGGCCACATTGGCGTGGGGCTCAGAGGGAGGTGATGTCGTTGAGTGCGTTGTCCAGCTCCTCGCTGATAGCCTTGTACTTCATCTTCTGTGCATAGACTTCATCTGGGGGAGGTTCAAGGGAGGGGGGCCAGGTAGGAGTGTGGGGAGAGGGAATGGAGGGAAAGAGGAAAGGAAGGAGAGAGGGTAATGGAAAGAGAATAAGAGTCAGAGGTGGACAAAGATGGAGTGAGAGAAATAGACCAGAGAATAGGCTGGACAGCCATGAGGGCTCCTTCCTCCCCTCTCTGTACCCGTCTTTTTTTGTTTTTCTCTGTAGCCCAAATCGGTTCTTCCCCCTCTGGAGCTCCTACCTTCCCCAGGGACATGGGGGCACAGTGCTTTGAATAAGTGGGAGTGCTTGCTTCAGGGGGAGGGTACTAGAGCCTGAAAGGTCTAAGGTCCTAAAGTTTGGAGATAAAATTATGGCTTGCCTGAGAAGGCTGGAAGCACAAGAAGTGGGAATTTCGAAAGTGAAAGGGTTATCATAAAATAAAAAGAAAATACAGTTTAGATAGGAAGGACATTTTTGCTACTAATGAGAAACAGCCACAGATTGGCAAATATACCTGGGTGTTTGTTTTCATCAAATCTAGCTTAAGATAGTATTTTCCATTAATGTCATGAAAACATAGATATTAAATCAAATCCCTCTATACTTAATAAAAAGATCTTTGTGATATAGTGTGTATTGTGTTGCACCTGAAGACAGAATTGTCTAGGGCAGTGGTCTGAGGACCAGCAGCATTGCCATTACCAGGCAGCCTGTCAGACATACAGATTCTTCAAGCCCAGAGTCAGCAATCACTTTGAAGTAGGATTCAGGAATCTGTGTTATAAAAATTCTCAGGCAGCCCAGATGGCTCAGCACTGGTTTAGTGCCACCTTCAGCCCAGGGTGTGATCCTGGAGTCCCATGTCAGGCTCACTGCATGGAGCCTGCTTCTCCCTCTGCCTGTGTCTCTAATGAATAAATAAATAAAAGCTTAAAAAAATAAAGTTTAAAAAATAACTAAAAATTCCCTGAGGTGTTCTCATATGCACTCAAGTTTGAGAAGCACTGGAGTTGGCATGCTGCAACCAGATGCAAGTACTTGAATGGTGGGCACAGCTCCTGGAGCTGCTGGAGTCCTAGGTGGTCCAACACTAATTTATCCAGGACAAATGCAATGGGAAAATAAGGGACAGATGTACAGTCATGGGCAGCATGGACCCACTTAAAGAGGTTTGGGGGTACAGGGGAGTATCCCTTTACCTTCCAGGTCATCGATGGTCTTCTCCAATTTTGCCACAGACCTCTCGGCAAACTCTGCTCGGGTCTCAGCCTGGGCGTAAAGGTAAGAGGGAGGAATGACAAAAATTCGGCCCTCTCAGTCAACCTCTCCTGTTCCATCCCTATCTCCAAAGTTCTTGCCATAGGCAGTCTCTCTGGCAGGGACAGGGAGGCTCGAGGGGAGAGTGGGGACTGGAAGGACTCTCACCTCTTTTAGCTTCTCCTCCAGCAGTTTGATCTCCTCTTCATATTTATCTTCTTTGGTGGAATACTTTTAGGGACATACACATGCCATCAGTAGATTGCCCCCATAAATCTTTCACTCCACTGAGCCCACAGGCTACTCCTGATCTTGTCTCCAGGGAACAACAAGCCCCTCCCTGCCTGGGCCCATCACCTCCCTCCCCTGCAGGACCCCATCCTCACTGGCCCTCTACCCCCTTCTACCTTGTCCGCTTGGGCTTCCAGAGATTTCAAGTTGTTGGTAACAATTTTCAGCTCCTCCTCTAGGTCCCCACATTTACTGTAGGGGGTGTGTGGCGGGGGGGGGGGGGTGTGAGGACACAGTGTGGGAGACAGTGGAGATGGCACAGTGAGGAAGGGGTGGAGGAGAGAAGAGAGAGCAGAGTTGTGAGAGTGACAGCAGGCAGAGTTTGTAAGCCCAAGGCCCTTCCCAACCCCCAACAGGTGAGAGAGCAGCCTGAGACTGGGGAGCAGGTGAGCTAAAAGAAAGCACCATTGCCCAGTGAGGTCACTACCTCCTCCTCTGAGGCCATCAGGGACTTGAGGGCCTGGTCCATGGTTCGGAGTTCCTCCTCCAGCTGCCTGGCTCGGCTGGGGGCAGCAGTTAGGGGTCAGAGGACAGGACCTGTCCCTATGGCCCCAAGCCTGGGAAACTGCCTCCCACTTGCCCCAGAGCCACGGGACCAGGCTGAGTTTCATTTGCTATCCCCAGGTAGCCTTACCTCTCAGCCACCTCTGCTCTCTCTTCTGAGCGCTCCAGCTCTCCTTCCAGGATCACCAGCTTCCTGGCCACCTGGGGGGAAAGGGACAGAAGAAGAGCCCTGGTGAGTGGCTGGGAGTATCTGGGGATTGACGGGGAGAAGGAAGTGGGGTAGGGCTGTCACCTCCTCATATTTGCGGTCTGAATCCTCAGCGATGTGCTTGGCCTCCTTCAGTTGCATCTCCTGCAGCTCCATCTTTTCCTCATCCTTCATGGCTCGGTTTTCGATGACCTTCATTCCTCTGAGAGGCAGGGAGAGGGGGCGGAAGTGGGGTCAGGACCAGCAGAGACAGGCTGCCCGCCCCTCCCCGGCCCACCCCCTGGGAGGCCCCCAGCCCACCTCTCACTCTCGTCAGCTGCCTTCTCAGCCTCCTCCAGCTTCTGTAGGGCTGTAGCCAGGCGCTCTTGCGCCCGGTCCAGCTCCTCCTCTACCAGCTGAATGCGGCGGTTCAGGGAGGCCACATCTGCCTCGGCCTGTGGGTCAAAGGCCAGAAGTCAGAGGGGCTTTGTCTGCCTTGGATGAGGATCAGAAAGGTTCCAGAGGCTGGTAAGATTCTTGTCAGAAAGAATCTATTTCCTAGCTTCCAGACTTCGTCTATTTTTCCCCCTAACCAGCCATCTTCTATTCAGACTCTGTAATCCCAGCCCAAAACATGCATTCCTTAACGAGCTCCATTCCCCTGCTTCAGGGACTCTTCTAGCACTGTGCATGGTTATTTTCCTGATAGTTATCTGCAGGTCCTTCTGCGTCGCTGAAAGCACGCCAGTGCTCAGTCAGACCAGGTTTGAGGAGCCCTGACTCCTCCAGGGCAAAGCCTGGCTCAGCTGCTCAGCTAAGGGGTGAGGAAAATCAGGCCAACCAGATCGCACCACTGCTAAAAATAGCCAATCACAGAGTTAAGCTCTGTGATGTCACTGGCTGCCAGGCAGACTCCCAGCGAGGGCCTCAGGAGGCTCTCCGGCCCAGAGGAGACACTCCAGGCTGTAACAAGGGGCTTCTTGCCCAGGGGGAGGCAGCTGGAGGCGGTGCAGGGCAGTGTGAGTGATACATATTCAGCCCCTGATCTGCAATATGGAGGCAAAACCTTGGAGGTTTGGGGGATGGTCCATGGAAAATGATACCTTCCGAAAATGAGAGGGCAGAGCCAAGATGGGCCTCCCATGAAGGAAAGTGAGGGAAGCAGTGCAGTTTGGTGTTAAGAGCATCGGCTCTGAGTCAGACTGCCATCTGTGAGCTCACTCGACACTTGTGTGACCTTGGACAACTTATTTCATTTCTCGAGGCCTCGGATTCCTCCTTTGTAAATTTTAAATCTGAGTTGACACAAGCAGTTCCTCCTCTGTAGGCTGTTCTAAGATAACACAGCACTTCTAATAATCAACAGGACCGGGTGGGAGGCTTATAAAACTAAACAGGCTCTCTAGCTCCATGCTAGGTCCACTGAAATGAGATCTCCAGGGCAAGAGCTTGGAAATCTTTTAGTTTTTTTTTGTTTTTGTTTTGTTTTGTTTTTTTAAGCTTCCAAGTGATTCTGATGATAAGCCAAGTTTGGGAAACAATAAAATAATATGCAGAAAGCATCTGAGCACATTGCCTGCAGAATCCGCACTCCATAAATGTTAGGTTATCCCTGTTTCTCCCTCAGAGACAACGACCTCAAGATTTAAGATTGGAAAGGAGAAAGGGCCAGTGTAGGGGAAGAAGTGAAAGCAGGAAGGGATGGGTGGCAGCCCTGGGGGCAGAGGGTGTAGGAAGCAGGTCCTGGGTGGTACCCTACAGCAGGGGAAACACAGCACCATATATAGAAAGTAGTAGCTTGTCCTCCAGGTGCTTTAGGCCACCTAGAGTGGCAAAGGCCATCATGGGCAGAGGGCCAGATGACTCAGTGTGGAAGGATTCTGGGGACAGCACTGGGGGTTGGGAAGAATGACCCTGGGAGAACCTTAGGGGTCCACTCTAGAGAATGATGAGACTCTATAAAAGGAAAGCCCTCTTTGTGATAGTAGGAGGACAAATGGCTCTGAAGAGTCTGAGAAGTCCTGGGGTCCTCATCACAGGACTGATATTTGCCATTTTCTGCTTCTCAAGCTCTTCCTGGTTATGGATGCTGCTCTCCAACTATAGGATAGGCACTACTGTCCCTACTGGATAAACATGAAGAGAGAAGGGGGAAACCGAGGCACGGTGTGAGTGAAGTGTGGTGTTCAAGGTCATACAATAAGTCCGGGCAGTGTTTGCTATTGACTCCTGGCACTGCTGCCCTGAGTCCCCAGCTCTGTCCTCGGCCTCTCCTCCTCCCCTCCAGCCCCCACCCAGCTCCTTGGGTTTCCAGTCCTGCCTCCAGCTGCACTGGGCCTTAGTTATTTATAGAGCGTCAGATGCCCAGGGCTGTCTTTGCTAGCAGCTGTAGGTCAGTTCCCTCCCAAGTGCCAGGGCTGGGGGAGAACCAAAACCAAGCCTGGAGGTCAGAGAAACCAACCTGGGGTGGGGGTTGGGGAACATGGGTAATGGTCAACATAAACAGTAATGTCATCTCAGATGTTCAGACATACTTTTGCTAATCCTCCCATATCTCCAATTATAGGCTCATTTTAATCCTGGATGGAAGGCAAGTGGGGAAACTGAGGCAGAGAACAGTACAAGTACCATATGAAAACTCATATGGCTATTCCCCAACCTCAAGGTGGGGGTTGGGAACGGCAGAAGACAGAGAAGTCTGGCTAGGGGATGTGAGGTGGGCAGAGAAATCTGAGCAAACAGGACCTGCTAAGGTGGCTGCCTTGGCATTTGTGGTCCTGTCCTGTGGCCCTGTGGCCTGGCCTGGTCTCAAGGCTGACAGCTTAATGAGGGTAAATGAGGGGCCATTAGAACCTGAGCTGGGTCCCAGTGCACAGCAGGGCTGCTGGAGCCAGAGGTCAAGGCCCAGGAATTTCTAATGGCCCCCCAGGGGTGTAACTCAAGTCAGATCCCATCTCTGGATTCCTCTCCCCACTCCTACCCAATAGTACCTACACCCATACCCCACAAATGGAGCTGCAGCCTCTTCTCCACTTCCAGCTAGAGGATTAATTGAGGTAGATGGTAAATTCTTGTACCACCCACCCCCTACGATGACTCACTGCTTGATCACTGTACATTCTAAGAGCTGGAACCAAATGGAGTTACAGGGCTGTCTTCTGGGGGAAGTGGTGGGTGGTTTTGATTTACCCACTGCCTTAGATTAATTGTGCAAGCTTGCCCTAGCCTGGGTTTTTGAGAGGAAACCATTTCTGTGCTGGTGCTGGGGATGTCTAGGTCCTCTTTCCCCTACTTCCCCGTGTCTGGGACCCCTCCCGGTGCACTCTCCCACCCTACCCTGGGTCCGCACTCACGTCGGTGGCCTTCTTCTCAGCCTGCTCCAGTTTTTCCTGGGCGTCCTTCACTGACTCAGAATACTTTTCCACCTCATCTTCTGTTCCTTTCAGCTTCTTCTGGAGGGCCTGCTGCTCCTCCTCCAACTGGGGGAGAGAGGCCTTGGTTAGTTGGGCCCTGAGGTCAGGAAGGAGGCAAGGTTGTGTGAGGGAGATTTTAAAAGATATTTAGGGGCTGTCAGGAAGGAAGCAGGATAGTAGGGGAAAGACAGTGCAGCCAGGGGTGTTGTGTTGAAGGGGACCTGGTAGGACAGAAAGCTTCCAGCCTCCCAAAGCTGGGGCTGCCCCTGCTTTGCAGGGGCAGGTGTGGAAATTGGGGGATTGCAGCTCCCTAGGCTATGGTGGGTGAGATTAAGTGTGGCTTTGGTCAGGTCCCTGATGGTACTGGATGGGTGACTCTGGGACTGCAGGCCTCAGGCTAGGGAGCACAGGGCAGGGCCTACCCCTCCCTTGTTGGGGAGGAGGGGGCTGCGCTGGGTCCGGGGCCCCCACCTGCTTGCAGCGGTCCTCAGCCTGCTTCTTGTCGGCCTCGGCCTGCTCCGCACGGTCGATGGCATTCTCCTTGTCCAGCTTTAGCATCTGCATCTTCTTCTTGATCGCGTCCATGGCTGCGGTGGGGGGCGGGCCGGCCGGCGGGCAGTGCGGACGGGACGAACTGGGCTGGCTGCGCGGACTGGGCGCACGGGTGGCGGGCGAGGAGGACCAAGCCGGACTGGGATGTCCCAGCCGCGCGGGCGCCTAAAAGGCTGGGAGGGACCGGGCGGAGCCGGGGGCCGGGACCCTCCCCCATCGCGGCGCAAACCTTGTAGGGGCAGAAGCGCAGCCTGGTGGGGGGCGGCGGCCGCCCCCTGTGCCCACCCCCTCGGGACCGCCCCCCTCGGGGCTCCTCCCCTCCCCCACCCCCAGCCGTCGGAAGGTAAAAGTAGCGGGTACTGTCCGCTGGAGAAACCCTGGCCCTGCGGAGGGGAGGGGACCGTCGGGCTGGGGGCTCTGCGTTTCCTCTGAGTGACAGCCCGGCGCAGTGGCAGCTGCGGCTGGGGCCCCTGGGGCTATTTCGGGGCGTGAGCTCACGGCAGCTGCGCGGGCGCGGGGACCCGCGTGCCCCCCTCAGCTGCAGCAGCCGCTGCCCTTAATTTAGAAGTTTCCTGTAAATCCCCCTGGATTAAATGTCTCTTGGGAGGCGGGGCTCCTCCGTGGTTCGAGTACCTCAGTTTACCCTGAGTCCCAGACTCTGGGTCTGCGTTACCGACGTGGTAGTGACAGCGGTGAGTCTCACCGGGAACTTGGGGAAACTGAGGCAGGAGGGGATTTTTTTTTTTTTTTTTTTCCCCAGAGCCCCGGCCCAGTGCGGAGCGGGGTCCGGCCTGCTGCCCCCGGAGGGCGGGCCTGCCCTCCCCCTGGCTTCCCCTCCCAGCCCCTGCCCAGGAGCCTGGGCCCCTCCCCTACGGTGGCGGGGCGCCTAGGTCCCCAGCTCCGCACCCCGCCCGCCCTGCCCCCACACGCGCCCCGCGTATTTTCCCGGTGGCTCCGGCCGGCGCGGCGCGCTCCCGCCCCCTCCCCTCCCCTGCCCCTCCCCCCGCCCCGCTTTCCCTGGGCCCCGGCCGCCCCGCCTCCCCCCCTTCTCCCTGCGGACTCTCCCGTCTCCTCCTGCGGGCCAACTTTACGCCAAAATTTCTTTTCTGCCCTTTTTTGGGCTGTTTCCCCGTGGGGAGGCGGGGCCGGCCTGGGGCGGGGAAGGCGGGGGGCGAGGGGAAGAGTTAGGGAGCCCCGGCGTCGGGAGGCGGGGGGCGGCTGCCGGGGCCCGGGTCGCGAGCGTGAGGCGCGGGGCTGCGGGTTTTCTTTTTCCCTCGGGTGGGGGGGGAGGAAGGAGAGGGCCGGCTCGGAGAAGGGGGGAAGGGGGAAGGGGGGAAGGGGGGAAGGGGGAAGGGGGAAGGGGAGCCCGGGCGGGGGAAACGCGGCGGCGGCGGTTCGCCTCGCTCCCCTGAGGCCGAGGCGGGGGCCTGGCCCTGGCGGGTGGGGGTGGGAACCGTGGGAACCGTGGGCCCTGGGCCCGGGCCGCGGGGACGGGGTGCGGAAAGGTGTTTAGACCCGCCTAGCTGCCTGCTTGCTACACGTGGAACAACTTGACCTCGCAGTGTTCATTCCAGCCATTTCCCTGCTCCCCCAAACTCGTGGGAGACCCGTCCACCCTCCCAGCACCCAGTGCTAAACCCCTGGGGGCTTCCAAGCGCACCCCTGTCCGTCAGTTTCCACAGCCACTTAATGCTGCGGTTACATTGCCTCCTCCACAGGTCCCTCCGCCAGGTCTCTGGGGTTGTCTTGGGCAGCTCTTCACGGTCCCTCCTGCCTGTGTCGGATGTGGTCTTACTCCTCGTTCTCCATTTCATATATTCATTCAACTGAACCTTGACATTGTTAGCAAAGTCTTTTAAAAAATCGGTGCCAATGCGATCCTAAAATCGTCCAAAACCCCTCCCTCCTCCCTCCCTCCTTTGAGGATAGAAATCCACATTTCTTAATATGGTATCTGAAGTCCATCGTTTTGGCCCCTGCCTATCTCTCTTCCTCATTTCCTTTCATCCCCATCCTCATCCCCAAAACACAGACTTGTACCTCATGCTGCGTTCATACTCAATTATATGCAGGACCTGGGAATAGCCATACTTTTCTTAAAGCTTCCACCTTTTCTGCATTTTGTTCCCTCTGTCTAAAATGCTCTTCTGGGGCAGCCCGGGTGGCTCAGCGGTTTAGCGCCGCCTTCAGCCCAGGAAGTGATCCTGGAGACCTGGGATCGAGTCCTGCATCGGTTCCGTGTGGGGAGCCTGCTTTTCTCTCTGCCTGTGTCTCTGCCTCTCTCCTTCTCTCTCTCTCTCTCATGAATAAATAAATAAAAATCTTTAAAAAAAATGCTCTTCTGTGGGCTGATTCTGGTGGCCTTAAAAACTCAGATCAGGGGATCCCTGGGTGGCTCAGCGGTTTGGCGCCTGCCTTTGGCCCAAGCCTCGATCCTGGAGTCCTGGGATCGGGTCCCCTGTTGGGTTCCCGGCATGGAGCCTGCTTCTCCCTCTGCCTGTGTCTCTGCCTCTCTCTCTCTGTGTGTGTCTGTCATGAATAAATAAAAAAATCTTTAAATTAAAAAACAAACAAACAAACTCAGATCAAATGATAGCCCTTCTGGGAAGCCTTCCCTGACCACTGCCTATCTCATTTCCTTCACCTAACGGATGTGTGTTCTTGGTGTAGGCTCCTATAATTCTCAGAATTCTTGTTACAATTGTTCTTGTACCTACCTATGGGTCTTCTTCATTGGCAGGTGAGTTCTCTGGAACAGGGACTATCTTATTCAAATCCGAATCCCCAAAGCCTAGCAAAGCATCAGGCATGAGTTGACACTCCATAAACTTTTGCTGGGTAAACTTTTTACTCACACAGAAATATTAATATTATCTGGATCTAAAGGAACTCATGGTCTAGTGCAGCAGTTCTCAAACTCCCCCCGCCCCCAAACTTACTGGTCTTAGAACCACTTACATTATTACAAATCAAGAATAGTTTGAAGATCCAAAACCTTTTGTTAGAGTGGATTATATCTATCAATAATTAACATATTAAAATGGAAACTGAGGGCAGCCCCGGTGGCGCAGCGGTTTAGTGCCGCCTGCAGCCCAGGGCGTGATCCTGGAGACTCGGGATGGAGTCCCACATCAGGCTCCCTGCATGGTGCCTGCTTCTCCCTCTGCCTGTGTCTCTGTCTCTCTCTCTAGCTGTGTCTCTATGAATAAATAATAAATAAAATCTTAAAAAAATAAAATGGAAACTGAGAAATTTAAAATATTTATTAATTCATTAAAAATGACAGAAATAAACCCATTATACATTGACCCTGTTAACATAAAGGATTTTTTTTAACTTACAGGATTTTTAATTGATGTATAATTAACATCCAATGTTATATTAGTTTCCATTGTACGACTATTGATTCAACAATTCTATATATTACTCAGTGCTCACCATGATAACTGTAATCACCATATGTTATTACAATATTATTGACTATATTCCCTATGCTGTACTTTTTACCTCTATGACATTTATTTTATAACTGGAAGTTTATACTTCTTAATGCCCTCTATCTATTTCATTCATCCTCCTACCTCCCCTCTGGTAACCACCAGTTTGGTCTCTATTTAAGAGTCTGTTTTTGTTGTTGTTGTTTAAGATTTTATTTATCTGAGAGAGAGAGAGCATGCAAGGGGTGGTGGTGGTAGGGGCAGAGGGAGAAACAGAAGCAGACTCCCTGCTGATCAGGGAGCCTAACATGGGGCTTGATCCCAGGACCTCAAGATCATGACCTGAGCTGAAGGTGAATGCTTAACTGACTGAGCCTCCCAGGCACCCCTTGTTGTTTGTTCATTTGTTTTTTAGAATCTGCATATATATGAAATCAAATGGTATTTGTCTTTATTTGACTTATTTTACTTAGCCTAATACCATCCCTCTAGGTCCACCATCCATGTTGTTACAAATGGCAAGATCTCATTATTTTTTATGGTTGAGTAATCTGTGTATATCTGTATACCACACCATCTATTCATCTATCCATGGACACTTAGGCTGCTTCCATATCTTGGCTATTGTAAATAATGTTGCAATAAACATAGGGGTGCATATATCTTTTTGAATTAGAGTCTTCATTTTCTTTGAGTAGATACCCAATAGTGAAAATACTGGATCATATAGTATTTCCATCTTTAATTTGTTGAAGAATATACTGGTTTCCACAGTATTTGCACCAATTTACATTCCCACTGACAATGCACAGGGTCCCCTTTTCTTCACATTCTCACCAACAGTTGTTATTTCTTGTCTTTTTGATACTAGCCATTCTGACTGGTGTGGAGTGGTATTTCATTGTGATTTTGATTTGCATTTCCCTAATGATCAATACTGTTGAGCATCTTTTTATGTGTTTGTGGCCATCTCTATGTCTTCTTTGGAAAAAATGTTTATTCAGGTCCTCTGCCCAATTTTTAATCAGATTTTTTTTTGGTGTTGAATTGTATAAGTTCTTTACATATATTGGATATTAACCTCTATCAGATATATCATTTGCAAATATCTTCTGTTAGTTTTCTATTTTGTTGATGGTTTCCTTTACTGTGCAAAAGTTTTCTATTTTGAACATAAACGTTTTTTTTAATTTATTTTTTAAGATTATTTATTTATTTATTCATGAGAGACACACAGAGAGAGAGGCAGACGGAGAAGCAGGCTCCATGCAGGGAGCGTGACGTGGGACTCGGTCCCCGGTCTCCAGGATCACGCCCTGGGCTGAAGGCGGCGCTAAACTGCTGAGCCACCTGGGCTGTCCTGAACATAAATGTTTTTAATAAAAACTATATTCACCTCCCTAAATTAGTGTTAGGATGGCAGTTGTATCACATTTTTACAAATCTGTTTAATATCTGGCTTAGTGGAGGACATGGATTCTCAAAATCTACTTCTGTTTTTATTGTTATAGGGTGGTTTGTTTATTTTTATTTTTTTTAAAGGGAATTAATTTTTTTTATATAAATTAATTTTTATTGGTGTTCAATTTACCAACATACAGAATAACACCCAGTGCTCATCCCGTCAAGTGTCCCCCTCAGTGCCCGTCACCCATTCACCCCCACCCCCCGCCCTCCTCCCCCTCCACCACCCCTAGTTTATTTCCCAGAGTTAGAA